CCAACCAATCCCCTTAGATTCAGGAACCCTTAGATTCATTCCTGTGTTGGAACAGGTAGTCATTAGGGGCCAGACTCAATAACCTTCCTTTCCAGCCCTAAAATTCTATGATTCAGTGAGAGGTGCTGTATTTTGTAAATGGACAGCTTTGCTGGCTTCCGTGTCCATGTACAAATGTGTTGGAAAAACATTTAGAGAATTTGGAATTTGTAATAATGATGAGATCTTTTCAGGACCTCCAGGATGACAAAGAAGCCAAAATGGTGACTGTTTTGGTTGACACCTATTTAGCTATGAATGTGTCTGTCATTGGAATAGGTCTAATAAATATTACAGAAGATTTTGCCTTAGGATAATAATCAGGAAGGTCTGAGATGACCTGCCACAAGTGTCAGATGAGACTTCTAAAGAGAATTTCATGCACTGTTAGTGGGGAACTACAAGTTTTGTGTGAAATTCAGTGGATGAAATAGAGTTGTTTAAAAACATTTTGAAGAAAGTGTTAAAAATATGATGTTATGAAATGTTGTCATATTAGTATAAACAAATAAAAAGCTTAAGTCCTTTCATTGAAATATCAACCACCCTGGACATCTACACATGTGTATGAAAATTCAAATTCATAGTCATTCATTCAAGCTCATACATTTACCTGAATCTAGGAGGAATCACTGAAAACAATCTGATACTTATAATATAAATTGAATATTAGCTTACAGATTTTATTTTTTTGCAGCAACTTAAATTAATTCTTATTATTTCTCTCACTTTCTCCCTCTATGCACACGCATACACAGTTAATTAACACTCAAGAATTATATTTATAAATAGCCTGGCCACTGAGAATCTTGATTTGCCCTATCTGTTGTATCTAACATCAAATTAAATTTTATCTTTGCTTACCCTTAAGCARGGTAAGGAAATGGGTTCCTGGGAAGGGGGGGGGGACACATGATCAGAATTGTTTGAGACCCTGTCATTAACTGTATTGAAATGCTGTTTACAACCCTGAAATTTCAGGAAACTTTTAAATTTAGTTTGTTACATAGAAACCAAATGTTAAGCTTGTTTCATTTTGTTCTTGTATTTGTTTTTGTTTTGTGGTCCTGGGGATGGAACCCAAGTGTTCTGCAAGCTAGGTCAATGCTCTGTCTTAGAGCTACATCCCCATTCCCCTAATGCTATTCTTGACATACATAGTAGCTTCCCTGTCCTGTTTATCTTGGGGTGTTAATTCATAAGCTTTTGGAAAGCAGTTCATCTTACTACTTTGTCCTTTTCATCATTCCTCTTAAGATAATAAAATAAAATAACCTGTACCAAGGCTTTAAAATAAATATTTCCCACATATTTCAACACGTGTTATTTCTATTCATAATTCTTAACTAAATTTAGATTTTTATTAATCCAATGTGACCTAAAATTTCTGCATTAACAGCACAATGTGGAATTGGGCTTATTCTCTTTGGCTACAGATAAAGCCATCATCTTGAAAATGGCTCTTTCTGACAAAAAGGTGTTCTTTTGAAATAAAGTCTTATTCACTACATTCCTCTTAGAGTTAATGTGAATTTTAGTGCCTCTAATTTTAGATTGAAGTGAAGTCTAGAATAAAACCCACCAGCTGACAATTGAATTTATAGATAGTTGTGAATATTTCAGGCTTGAATAATAGAGCTGTAGAATTTCAGAGACAGAGAGCGAGAGAATTAAGACTCGCTGTGGTTTTAGGTTATAATGCAATGGTGTCTAGGAAGTGTTCAGTGTAATAAGCTAAGTAGTAATTAGGAGACAACTGTGTTCTTTCAGGGATTCTGTTGAGGTGTCACTCCAAGCCATGGGAGTGTGACTCAATAAGGCAGACCTGCAGCCCCTGTGGTCTTCCCTTGGGCCCCTCTCCACTCATGGGTGAGTGGTAGATGAAATTGCTGAAAAATAAAAGCAGTTGATTTCTGTGTGCATCACCTCTACCCTTGCCTGTACTTTTTTTTTTTTTTTTTTTTTTAAAGATACTTCTGTTAAAAACTTAGTTGACATTAAGGCATTTTGGCTCTGGACTTTGGAATCAGACACATGTTCAAATCCTACCTCTACTACTTCCTAGCTGCATGACATTTGGGAAATTTCTGAACATCTGAGGCTCAATGCCTGGCATATAAAAAGCATTCAAATAGTGTTAACCCTATTAGTATTTCCACTGGGCAAAGGTATTAATTAAGGAAGCAGTTCATGTTGGAAAAGAACCATGAACAATTTAGAGCACAAATCTAGTTTGTTCACATTCATTCATAGCCAAAGTGGCCAGACCTCATTTAGAAGATATTTCCAGGATTCCTAGGACTTCCCTGGCAGTGACTCCTCCCAAATTGCCTTGTGTGCATCCAGGATGTTGTAAAGTATGGCCTGAGATTTGGGGATGAGACAGCTGGCTGGAGAAACCCCATTTTTCTGAGACATAAACAGCATGCATTTGACACATACACTTTGGGTGACTTAGCAAATAACTCTTCCATAAACAAAGAGGTAATTTCTGACCTTGTTCCTTAAATTGAGAGTTCTGTAGATTTTAGAAGTCCATGAGAAAAAGCCCAAGGGGGAAAAACCTGCGATAAAAATGATCATAGAAGGGGCTGGGGATGTGGCTCAAGTGGTAGCACGCTCGCCTGGCATGTGTGCGGCCCGGGTTCGATCCTCAGCACCACATACAAAGAGTTGTGTTCGCCGAAAACTAAAAAAATAAATATAAAAAAAGAACAGAATAGAGTTGAAAAAAAAAATGATCGTAAAAGATGCAGAAAAAGGGAAAAAGAACAGGTTGCAGGGGACCTTGGTGTGTGTTTTGTTCTCAAACAACTCAAAGCAACTCCTCTTTGGGGAGAAAAAAAAAATTTTTTTTTTTTTTCCAACAGTGCCTTTCAGGCAGATGGTGAAAGAGTTAATTGTCATAGCTGTGAGAAATTCAGTGCCARAGAGAGGAAAGGGGAGCAACCATGGTTTAGTAGCCTAATAACTTCTAACTCTAGTCTAAGATCATAATGTATGTGTGCGCAGTCTGGTAATTATAAGGTAATAAGTGAAGTGGTGGTATAAGAGCTCTAAATTAAAAGGAATTCACAGGCCTGCTGTAAGTCAGTGCCGACCCGCTTTCTTTCAAACGTTGACTTGAGGAAAGTGCTCAGCCCAGAGTGCAAGCAGGGAGACAAGGAGAGCGATCTATTAATTACAACACTCATTAACAGTGACGGCTACAAGGCAGCAGATGCAGAAAGGAGAGGACTCTGTTGTTGGGGTTGGCGAGGGGGATATTTTTTTCTTCTGCTACCTCTGGGGAGGGAAGGACAGCCCAAGTGGGTGGGTGAAAACACGGAGATATTTTGGTGGCTTTCTTCTTCCTGTTGGCATTCTGCACATCCCCGTATTGCTTGACTTGAGTGAGCAGAGCACAGTTTCCCAACTAAAATGAATTTGGGTGGAAGCAATCCTGTCCTTAATGCTTTGCTCTTGAGACTCCCTGCGTGGAACCGTTAGGTGAACATTCCTGATAGAGAATTCCATCTTGCCCTTCATTTGAAAGAAGCAGAACAATGGGAGAAGGGAGACCTGGCGGATAGCATGAAATTTGTACAAAGATAAAATATCATTAGATTTATAGTGAAAGAGATAATTGCATCCCTTTGGTTATACTGTGACTACTCCCCCAAATTCTAGTGAATGACCATTACACAGTGGGAATCCCATAAATCAGCTTTACACAGGGAAGCAATTATCTAAGTCCTTTCTCAACTGTCACCTCTTCTTTCTATGGTGGTCTCTCAGAAGGTTCTCAGAGGGCCTTGCTAAAAGGGGTTTTACCCTATGGCTAAGCGGAAAGACAATAAGACCAACCATATCTTTGCATTTAATTACCTTTTCAGAAATCCAATCACTTATGGGTTCCCCAGAAGAAGATGAGTGATGTTTCTTCTAGATAAGAGAAGTAGTTTGTCAGATTAGATGCTTCATCATATTTCTTTCAGAAGATATGATGTTAATGGGGGAAAATGTACAGGGCGGAGTGGAGGGACCATTTCAAATCTCATATTTTCAGGACAAAAATTGATACAGTTCTACACTTCTGAATGTGACGTATTAGATTGGTTGGACTCACAGGTATACTGAAGGTACAAATGACTTTTACTAATTCATCTGTTACAATAAGGGCAAACCACACACAAAAAGACACAAATACATGCTCATATTTATTAATCAGTGCTCCTAAGTTTTGTGCACTTTAGGAAATAATCCTTAAATATTGGATAGAATTTCGTGCTTGATATCTTTATATGTTGTGAAATGGCTAGGAGATAGGGCAATTTAAATAAAGAAGCAAAGCAATTGAGGATATATTCCTTATGTGTTTTAGTCAGATCAATAAAAGACACAGTTATGCTTATGGAAGCGTGCTGACAAACAGTAATTACAGAGCTAAGGATCATCTGTTCAGTCTTGAAAGATAGAAGTTTGATTCTGCTCATAATAAAATGGATGCGGRATGTACCAGAAGGTGGAAGGAAAGACTGGGTGAGGATAAATACAGTTTTAGAAATGATTTAGACTTTGCAAATCCCTACCTCTTCTACTGATAAATTTAGGATCTAGAGAGCTGATTTATATATTGACAGTGGTTCTCCAAGAGAAAAGTAAAATAAAAGCAATTGGACCCTTTAGAGCCTTTGTTTATGGCCTGTCTGTGCTCTCTGATGTAGCCCTGTCAGGCCCTTACACTGATTACCTTCTTGTAGAACAAGAGATATTGACTAGAGAATGAATGATGTGCATCTCCCAGCCCTCAGGAAGCACTCTCAAAGAACAATGTCTTTAACATGCAAAATTCTTCCTGTGGGTTTTTTTAATCCTCTCAACTTTCCCTTACCTTTTTACCACCTCCTTATTTGTACCCCAGTTGGCCTCCATGTCTGACTCTCTCTCTCTCCCCCTCTTTCTCTCTCCCTCCATCTCAGGCTTCTCTGCAGAATGTCAAACAAAGATCGACACATTGATTCCAGCTGTTCRTCCTTCATCAAGACGGAACCCTCCAGCCCAGCCTCCCTGACGGACAGCGTCAACCACCACAGTCCTGGTGGCTCTTCAGACGCCAGCGGGAGCTACAGTTCCACCATGAATGGCCATCAGAACGGACTGGACTCGCCACCTCTCTACCCTTCCGCTCCTATCCTGGGAGGTAGTGGGCCTGTCAGGAAACTGTATGATGACTGCTCCAGCACCATTGTTGAAGACCCCCAGACCAAGTGCGAATACATGCTCAACTCGATGCCCAAGAGACTGTGTTTAGTGTGTGGTGACATCGCTTCTGGGTACCACTACGGGGTAGCGTCCTGTGAAGCCTGCAAGGCATTCTTCAAGAGGACAATTCAAGGTTAGTATTGGAGCTGCTAATACTATGCCTCTTTCCAACTTTGTGTGATATTTTTTTTTCCCCCTTGTTCTTCTTTTTCTTCTTCTTTTTTTTTTTTTTTTTTTTGTATTAGGACTTGAACCCAGGGACATTTTACCACTGAGCTAAATCTCTAGGAGTTTTTAAATTTTTCTTTGGAGACAGGGTCTTGCTAAATTGCTGAGGGCCTCACTCAGTTGCTGAGGCTGGCCTCAAACTTGTAACCCTCCTGCCTCAGTCTTCTGAATCACTGGGCATGCACCACCACACCTGGCCCTAGTTATTTTTGCAAGTCCACTTGCATGGCATTATTTCTATCTTGAATAGAAAACAGAAATAGATTAAAATTGATCGTAGGGGATTTATAGAATAAACTCTCCCTAGATATGCTCCCTGTCCATTAATTCTGCTTTCACTATTATACTCACATGATGCAAAGATAATGAGAACTGGGTGGAGTTTAAAAGAGTGTAGCTACGATTAGAGTAACATGGGTCTGTGTAACTACTGAGCAAAAGCACATTAGATTAATAAGGCTTTTTATCCCTTTGATTCTTACACGTACATTGAAGTAATGAATACTCTAGTGTTTCTCAAACTTTATACATCAAAATCACCTGGCAATCTGGTTAAAATGCAGATTACTGGTCCCTATCCCCAGAGGTTCTTGATTCATTAGATCTGGGTTGGGGGCCTCAGAATTTTTACATTTCCAATAAATTTCCAGATGATGCTGTTCCAGCCAGGGACCACACATTGAGAACCACTGTTTTAGACATATTTAATCACCTCCTCATCTTCTTCCTTTCCCTGTAGATAGATTTGCATAAGAGACTTCTAAATTAAACCAATGAAATTTCATTGAATTATAAAATATACCTCCAACACATACAAGTGATGCATATCCAAACCTTTATAAATCACCGGGTTTATAAATAATGTTATTTCTCACAGAAAATATGGAAAAATATAACTAGTTTATATGCACTCCTTTTAAACTGGTAATCCACAAATATAGAACTCAGCTCACTTTCAGATCTACAGATACATTCTGACACAAAATTAGATTTTACTTTTTCAATCTCTTGTGATTACTTTTGAAGAAAATGGGAAAAGGAAAATAAAATCTTTTATTGAGATCCACAGCACCCAGAGATTCTGCTCAGTGGTTTACAGAACACATCCCTTTAAAAAAAAAAAAAAATTGATGCTGGGATTTAAACACACACTTTAACACTGAGCTACACCCTGGCCTCCAAAATATATCTTCCTAACAACCAGTTGTGGGGGGGGGGACGCTGTGGTTGTAGCTCAATGGTAGAGCTCTGCCTAACATGTGGGGTACTGGGTTCGATCCTCAGCACCACACACACGCACACAAAAAAATAAAGAAATATATAATACATAAATAAATAAAGGTTTTGTGTCCATCTGCAACTAAATTTTTTTTTTTTTTAAATACAACCAGTTGTGGACATAAAGATGATCTTCACTGATATCAGTATTCTCAAGCTTGTCAGCCCATTACTTCAATTTTTTCTTTTAAATACTGATGCCAGGGCTTGTGCTTCCAAATTCTGAATGAATTGATCTTAGATGTGGCCAAGACAAAGGAGGGATTTTTGAAAGCTTCCTAGGTGATACATAATGTAAAGTCAAGGTTGGGCTGGGATATAGCTCAATGGTAGATCACTTGTGTAGCATGTGTGGGTTCCCATGTTCAGTCCCCTTAAACACACACACACCACACACAAATGATAATAATAATGTATAATAATGTAAAGCCAAAGAGCTATTAGACTAGTGGGCATAGTGGAGCATGCCTGTCATCTCAGCTACTGGGGAGACTGAGGCAGAATTCAAAGTTCGAGGTCATCCTGGCAAAATTGGAGAGACCATGTCTCAAAATAAAATAAAAAAGTGTTGAGTATATAGCTTAGTAGTAGAGTACTTGCCTTGAATGCCCTAGGCCTTGGATTCCATCCTCAGTCCTTCATAACCCTGGACTTAACAAAAGAAAAGAAACACTGCACCAATGTGTTCGGTATTCTATACCAATGGCCCTTAGTGTGGTGGCTTGACCAGCAGTATCAGCTTGCATTTTATTAGAAATGCAGATTCTTTGGCTTCATCCTGGGTTAATCAAACCAGAATCTCTGGTAGTAAACTCAGTGATCTGTACTTCACCAATCATGCCAAGGGGTTCTGATGGTCACTCTAGTAGGTGAGCCACTGCCCTCCATGTTGCTGCTGATTTACTAGTGACATCTGAGCACTGTCAACTTTTGGTGCCTTTCTGAATATAACTAAAATTAGTCTATTTGGAACCTAAATAACTGCGTAGGGTCCTGATTTTTATGTTGCAAAAGAGGAACTGTTTGTTAAACTCTAATGCTTATAAATATTTTAACAAAAGGTGATACTGGAACCCTTCATGTGCACTTACAATATTCCCAACTCTTTCCTTTTAAGAATGTCTGGCAGTTCAACTCTTTTCAGTAAGTTCTACTGAAGATTTTGACCACTGTCAGTAGTAAATAGGTTGCACTGGCTCCCCCTTGCTTTTTGTTTTGAGTGCTGAGGATCAGACCCACAGAGCTACCACTGACCTCTGCCCCTACCTGTCCCTTGCTTTTGTGTTGTTTATTGGATAGCATGCTTGATCTGTGGTTAAGAACACAGTTTACTTCAAAAGCAACATTTTTTAAGTCACTATAACCCTATATAATAGAATGACTGTTTCAACCTAATCTCTCCATAGCCTTTCATAATTTCACTGAAGAACTCAAAGTCAAGTGAGTGTGCACTAAAATGTTCTCTAAATATTTTAGTAGCAGTATTTTAATTTTTCTGACTCATCATTATCATATTTCATTAATATTTTCCTAGAAATTCTCATCCACTGGATCTTTATCTCCTTCTATAAATTTAAAGCTTTAATACCTGAGAAAAATTCCTGACAGTTTTCTTTTTTTTTTTAATAGGTAAAGGTCTAATTTTTGTCTTCAGAAAAGTTATATATGTTCACTTAAAAAAGCAAGTTAAGGCATTTTGTAGAAATGCAGCATAAAATATACACAAGATTTCAGATTCTTTAATAATCTTATTACTTAGATATTAATAGCTATGCAATGGTTGTTTGCTGAGCAATAATTATAACAGAACCATTGGAGTTCTATGCATGATTATTCTTTGGGTAGCTGCAAAGCTACCAAAAGCTTAGCAGAACAAAGCACAGGGTGATTCTTGGCATTGATATATAATGCTCACTTTCCCTCCATATTGGAGAGAGCAAGTTGCAAGGATTCTGAGTAGGAGACAGAGATGTCACTGTCCAGATTAGCACTCTGGACTTGCCCACCTGGCTGTGCTTGTAGCTGGCAGCTGGGCAGCACTCAGTAAAGCTACCCTGCGAGCTACATCATCAGGCATCACACTGTGGTGCTTACTTAGCCCCAAAAAGCCAGTGAGGCAAATAAAGGGATTAAATTGTGAAAGTATAATGTAATAATTAGGGCGGTAATTGTAAGGAGGATTGGAACGGCCCCTCCTTGTTGTGGCCAAATAGTGATAGCGACTGAACTCCAAAGATGTTGAAAGTAGCCTGAACATATTGTACCATCACTGACTCTTGTTCCTATGCGGAAGGGGCTATGAGTCGGCTCTCATGCCTCCAGGAAGCAGTGTAGCCAAATTATTCTTGACAGATAGCCTCTCCCCCCCTTTCCTTGAAGCTCTCCAGGGAAGGAGAGGAGATTACGTAACTCCCCTTGAGAACAAGTCCTTCTCGAGTAGGACTTARCAGTAGAAACTGTCTCACAGCTCCAGTGGCCAGGACATTATATAAGCGTGACTTCTACCTCACCAGGGCCTGGTTCTGCTTTCCTGGACTTGACTAAGGGACATGTGTGGAGTGTGGCAATAATGCCTTTTGAGAATCTTTGTTTCTTACTATGACCATTTATTTTTAGGATTGGTTATTGGATGTATAATAAATATAAGTGTACAAATTTGGGCAAGGGAACACTTATTTTACTGTATAAAKTATCATCCAATTCTCCAATTCTCGAGTGTAAAATAAAGCCAATTCAGATCTTCAAACTTAAAAAAAAAGCTTTTAATTTTAAAAAATGTAAAATGTGGAGCTAAAAGAACACATATTTAAAACATGTCTTGAGAAAAATAGTAACAATTTTTATTTTCAATTCTGAATGTGGCATTTTGTTTTGTGAAAGTCARTGAATCATAGATTTTGGTAAAGTCAACTTCAAAGGTGTATTTTATTTATTTGACTATAGCTTCATTGACTCATTCCAAGTTATCATTGAGAAACAATTGAAAAGGGTTAGCAGTTAAGTAGAATTTAAKGCTTTAGATTTTACTTTTTTTTTTTTTCTGAACAAACTATTTTGTGTGTATGTGTGCTCGGGATTGAATGCAGGGCCTTGTACATGCTTGTTAGCATTTGCTTCACTATAGAACTTCATCAATGGGCCTCAAAATATTTTTAAGATACTTTTAAAGAGGATTTTGATAGTCCTGACTATCATTTGGTAGGATTAGAATGTCAGCAATGATTTCATTGTCATTTTGTATTCATGATAATTTGAGGGGTGTGATATAGTTCTTCTGATTATTTTTTCCAATTCCATTATTGGCCTCAGTTCATTGATGAATGGAGATTTGTTTGGGGCTTCTCTTTAACAGTTTCACTGAACTCTGGTTAAYGAAGTAGGAAAAGGAAAACATCTTCATAACCTAAAGAAGTCAATATATATTTCATTATTTAATATACAAAACATCAGTCCCCCGAAATTTTTCTTTCTATGTAAGAATAAGGAAAATCACTTTTGTTTATTTTTTAAAATTTTGTGGGTACTAATACCCAACTGCTCATTCTAGTTCTAAGGTGTTCCTCTTCCCCCACATTTAAAAAAATACCTTTATTTTATTTGTTTTTATGTGTGCTGAGGATTGAACTC